AAATCTCTCTCAATCTCTTTAATTTAAAAAATAAAAAACAGAAGAGTAGAAATAATTTTACCACCCTTCCATCTCCCTCCTCCATTAATAAAAAGAAAAAGAAAAAGAAAAAAGAAACACACCAAAAAAATTTATGTCCCTTTCTCTCCTCCCTCCCCTCTCCAAATTCACTAATTCAATCGGAGGCTTAAAGCAAGTAACGAGTCATGAGCGATTGTATGCGAAGAGTAATGCGATATATATGGCCACCAATAAGCAACTTCATGGTTACTTTTTATGAAAAAATTTGTCATTACAATAACAAAGAATTAAAGACCTTGCTTTGTGCCATCTTCTTTCATTGATACTTCCAAAGAAAGATCTGAGTCAACTCTAAAAGTTAGACTGCAATCAAAAGAAAAGAAATTTCATCTGACATTACTTTTCCGATTCCACTAAATGGTACCTTTGGAAAAGATTAGTAATTGTGTGCAACGCATGGATAGTGACCAGGGGGAGACGACCGACCTTGACCGTTCAACGCGCATGGATGGTGGGAGACGACCAATTATTTTTTATCAGCAAAAGAAAGGTGCCGTGCTCTGCACATGCGTCTCTATACAAAACTTGCTTGTAAGCATTTACCTTCAAAATATTTAAAATTTAAAAGATAAAGTTTTTAAAATTTTATTTATAATATAAAAGCTAGTAAGCAACCCTAAAAAAAACACTGCCAAAATAAGATTAAAAAAAAACAGAAGAAAAAAACTGTTGCCAAACAACCTAAAACTATTTGTCAATCAAAAAATTACTATCACATATTCAAGGTCTTCGTGGTTTAAGTTTACTCGGAAACTTCGTGGCTGCATCCTCTTAATACGGAAGGCCCAAAAAAAAAAAGGAAAAGTCAGCTTAGTCATCTGAACCTGATGGGACCGAGCACCTTAAATATCTATCCTTGCTCCTAAACCCAGCAAAACACCTCAACTTGAAAAATCAAACTTAACATGGCATTTTGCATTCGCATTTCCATGGAGTTATTAACATGGGCTTCCTTATTTTTCTACTCTACAATTTGTATTGGCACTGGCAGCACATTTGTGGCCGGAGCAACACCGGAGGCACTAGCTCTGTGGAAGAGTGGGTGGTGGAATGCCTCCATCAACAACGTTGCAGACCATTGTAGCTGGCCTGGTATAACATGCAACGGTGCTGGGAGCATTACCGAGATTAGTCCACCTGATTTTAGTGTGGGAGACAAGTTCGGAAAACTGGACTTCTCTTCCTTCCCCAATCTTGTTCGCCTTAATCTTAGCCATCAAGGACTCTATGGGAGCATCCCACCTCAAATTGGTGATCTTACAAGACTCGAGCACCTCAATCTGTCCAACAACAATCTAACAGGTACATTGCCTTCTTCACTTGGAAATCTCACTCAATTACGGATGCTTGACGTATCTTTCAATTACATACATTCCATCTCCCCAAAAGTCAGGAATTTGAAGAATCTTGTTTCTTTGAACTTGACTTGGAACAACCTCACTGCATCCAGTGCTCCAATTATAGGCCTTCCCACCAATCTTTCCCACTTGGAGTTGGCCTCAAATCCTTTTCATTGTAGTATCCCTCCAGAAATATGGAACTTGAAGAGTCTTGTAGCCTTAGACATGAGCGATTGCTCCCTCAATGGTCCAATCTCTTCCAACATCAGTCATTTAACCAATCTGGTTTCTTTGTCTCTTGCATACAATCAAATCAATGGATCCATACCTTCAGAAATGGGAAATTTGAAGAACTTGGTTTCTCTGGATCTATCTGGAAACTTGTTTGTGGATCTAATATCATCCCGTCTTGGACAATTAACCAGTTTGACATTTCTAGATCTCAGTTTCAATTCATTTAGTGACTCCATCCCTCCAGAAATTGGGGAATTGACGAATCTCACTGATCTCTACATGAGTCACTACAGATTTGGTGGTCCGCTCCCTCCAACTTTGGGTCACTTGACAAATTTGAGGATCCTGCACCTTGGAGCAAATTATTTTTATGACCCCATCCCATCAAGCATAGGAAATCTAAGTAATTCGGAACTTCTGAATCTCGGTGATAATAACTTAGAAGGTCAAATCCCTTCCTCTCTGTCTCGTTTGTCCAATTTACAGTATTTGAATCTTTCTGAAAACTATTTAAGTGGTCAAATCCCTCCCTCTCTATCTTGTTTGTCCAATTTACAGTATTTGAGTCTTTCTGAAAACAATTTAAGTGGTCAAATCCCTCCTTCTCTGTCTCGTTTGTCCAATTTACAGTATTTGAGTCTTTTTGAAAACTATTTAAGTGGTCAAATCCCTCCCTCTCTGTCTCGTTTGTTCAATTTACAGTATTTGAGTCTTTCTGCAACCAATTTAGCTGGTCATATCCCTCCATCTTTGGGTCTCTTGTCCAATTTACAGTATTTGAATCTTTCTGAAACCTATTTAAGTGGTCAAATCCCTCCCTCTCTGTTTCGTTTGTCCAATTTACAGTATTTGAGTCTTTCTGCAAGCAATTTAAGTGGTCAAATCCCTCCCTCTCTAT